GCCCCAAGCCCCACCGCGCCCCCAGCGCCCCAGCGGGGCCCCCGCCCACTGCCCCCTCCGACACGAACGCTGCATTACGCGTCGCCCCCCCCTCCGCGTCCCCAGCGCCAGAGTGGGACCCCCGCGCCGTGGTTCTCTGCCCCGAGCCCCCCCGCGTCCCCAGCGCCCCAGCGGGGGCCCCGCCCACTGCCCCTTCCGCCACTAACGCTTCATCCCGCGTCGCGCCGCACACCACCTCCCCCACCTCCCTCCCCGCGTCCCCAGCGCCCCAGTGGGGACTCCGCCCCGTGCCCCCTCCGCCCCGACAATTTTATTCCGCGTCGCGACGCACGCCACCTCCCCCCCTTCCCCCCCTTTCCCCAGCGCCCCAGTTGGACCCCCGCCCCGTGGCCCTCTGCCCCAAGCCCCGCCCAGTGCCCCCTCCGCCCCGACAGTTTATTCCGCGTCGCGGCACACACCACCCCCCCTCCTCTCCGCGCCCCCAGCGCCCCAGTGGGACCTCCGCCCCGTGCTCCCTCCGCTCCGAGCACTTTATTCCGCGTCGCGACGCACGCCGCCTCCCCCACCCTCCCCACCTGGGACTTGGGCCCCGTTGCTGGGCCCAGAGGGCGATGCCTTGCCCCCTTTCCCCCCCTCCTCCTCCTCCTCCTCCTCCTCCTCCTTTTCCTCCTCCTCCTCCTCCTCCTCCTCCTCCTCCTCCTCCTCCTCCTCCTCCTCCTCCTCCTCCTCCTCCCCCTTCCTTCTTGTGCAAGGGCTATGGCACACGTGCCACTTGTTTGTGTGTCCCTGGGCCCCTTCAGCGAAGGGTTGGCGACCTCGGCAGGCCAGCGGCGACCTCATCGGCCTGCTCTGGGAGAACGACCACGGCCTGACGGAGGAGACCTCGGCACGCCGCTGCCGCCGCGCCGGGCTGCTGCTGCTACGCTGCCGCGCGTGGCTGCACGGGGTCCCTCGGGTGGGGGGGCGTCCGAGGCAGGAATTGATCCCTATCCACCGCCTGGAGGGTAAGTTTTCGGAGCCTCGGCAGGCGTAGGATACGGACATATTCGGGCCCCCGGGGGCCGAAATATAGCCATATCCACCGTCCGCTGGGGCACCAGGACGTCGGTTCCCAGGCGGTGGATACGGAGAAACCCCCGCCTCGCAGTTGCACGGGTTCCCTCGGGTGGGGGGGCGCGCCTCTGACGTTGGCGCCAGCCACCCTACGTTCCACGCCGTCTCGGGTGAGCAGGTCACGGGCGACGAGGGTTCCTCCATGCTCCTTGTCTGCGTCTTGGGAAGAAGGCTTCGTCTTGGTAGTGCCCCCGCTGCATCCCTTGCCCGTGGGTCGGGGGAGGGCCACTTGCGACGGTGGCGGCCTTCCTGAACGAGTAGAGATGAGGGAAGGGCAAAGAGCGGATCAAAGGAGGAATGGGCAATCATACCGCTACCCCCTCGTTTGTTTTCTTGTTGTTGGGCTTCCTGGGAGGCCTGGGCTCTCGTCGCCATTGCTGGATTCGCTTCGGAATCTTGGTCAGACCGCACCCTGGGAAATGTCTGGGGAGCAGCGGTATCGGTACATTCTGGCTCCTCGACAGAGGAGGGAGGACGAAAACGCCCATAGAGGAAGGAAAATGATGGCCGCCGATGTCTCAGCCTCCCCCCCCCCAGCCAGAGTTTGTTTGGGGCGGGGGGGGGCCAGGCGGAGCTCGCCGTAGACGCCATCTGCGTCGCTGTTGCCGGCGCCCCCCTGGAGCGGCCGCCTATGGCGTGCCGCTTTTGGGCAGGTGGCTAATAGTCAGTAGTGGCACGAGCACAAGCCTTTCAGAGCCCCGAATCATCAGGGGTAACTCGGGTCAGGGATAACTCGGGTTCGTTTTTCGGGAAGCCAAACCCGAGTTACCCCGGACCCGAGTTACACCGGATAACTCGGGCGCCCAAGTAGTGGCACAAGCACAAGCCTTCGGAGGTCCGCGTTGACTGCTCGCATCGGCGCTGGGACCCTATGAGGCGCCTCCGGCGCTCCCTCTGGCGTGCTCGGCGCTCCAGGGAGGGGGGGGCCCAGCGCCGATGCAGGAAATCAATGCGTTCCTCAGGAAGTTTCCGACTACACCTTAGGCGATGCTTAAGAAAACTTAAATTTTCGGCCAGAGTCTCGATGATTCTTAATGTTTCAATGTAAATCCTAAGATTTGAATGGAAATTTTGGGTTTTTATTCAAGTTCTGAGACTATGAATTTCTTAACCCATGATTTCTTAAGCATTTCGCAAGGTGTATGCCCTCGTCTGTCCTTCGGTTGTGCGGTGCCACCCCTCTTCCGCCCGTTGCCCCGTTCCGCACCTGCTCGCCCCCATTCGATCGCACCAGCCGCACCAGGTCTTCAATGCTGCCGCAAAAGTCTCTCAGCTGGTAATAGCCTCCCCTCTTCGTCCTCCCCCTCATTATCATCACCACCAATAGAAGTCCTCATCCCCCACCACCCCCCACCCCTCCATCAGCGGTGGCCTCCGCGGTGGAAGAATCAGTTGTTTCCAACTGCTGTTGGGGTGTAAACCAGTCGGTAAGCCCGCGAGCAGAAAAGCAAGTCCCCACGATTGGGGATTTGTTTGTGATTCTTCGCGGTTCCGACCGCCAGCCCGTTTGGAGAAGTCGCCCGCCGGTCCAGTCTTCCCTCGTGCTCGGAGTCCCCGGCCTGGCTCCGAGAGCGGGGCAGCGCCGCCTGGCCTAGGCGCTGGCGCGTTTTCCTCCCCGATCTTTCTTTTGTTCCTCCTCGATCCTCCTCTTCTTCTTCCTCCTCCTCCTCGATCATTCTCCTCCTTGATCCTCCTTCTCCTCCTCGATACTCCTCCTCGTCCTCCTCTGTGCACCATCGGGGGTTGGTCCCCCATGCGCGGAGCCACGCCCGCGCGGGGCGCCCTCGACTGCCCCAGCATTCCTGGCGTGGCTATGTGTAGCGCGCAGAGGCCCCCAAAGTGCAGTCAAGTTTGATGGAGTACCTTCAGGGGGCCTTTTTTGTTACTGCCCCCCCTGTGTGTCCCGGCAGGGAATCAACTCCCACAGTTTCTTTTTGCTCTTCCTCCTCCTCCTCTTCCACCTCCTCCACCTCTACCTCCCCTGCCCTCATCAAGAAGTTGTTTCAACGGGAGTGGCACGACCAGCTGCTGCGAGCCGCGTCGGCCAAGTTATGTCTGGAGGTTGGCGCAGCGCGCGCTGCAGGACAATTTCATCCCAGCTGTCGAGATGAAAACCCTGCTGTCGTACCTGTGCCAGTGTATCTGGACGAAGGAGAAGATGGTTTTGGCAGGGTGCGAACGCGACATATCTTGTGAAGTTCGTGCTGATCCTAACGCTTCATTCCCCCATCGTCTGTGCCACGCCCCTCGGGCCCGAAACTTCAGGGCCACGCGTATCAGTGAAGGTGACATCGAAACTTCCAGGACAAGATTCGTGCGCCTGACCTTGGACACCAGACAGCAAAGCATTGGACCCGATATTGCAACCCGATTGAGGAGGGTTTAGGTGGAGAAGTTCTTCATGCTTGAAGTGTGTTGAAACCAGGCCAGCGTGTGCATGATGTCCCAGCGTGGGCAATAATCAAAATTGACCAATTCGGGGATCTCGTTGCCAGCGCAGCAGTTGTAGTAGGAGCTGCGCTACCCGCCACGTTTCCTGCTGCGGAGCACTTGGGGCTCTACGTGGTCTCCATGTACCCCCGCATGACGAAGGCTATTTCGGATTTCAGTGGTATTCTACGTTCATCGGGGTCCACAAGTGAGTAGGAAGGACATTGGTTTGGGAGTTTAAGTGCTCGCGCGTGTCCAGCCGTACTTGTCCCGCTTGCAGATTGAAACAATGAACGCGCACCAACATTTTGGCGGGTTTCAGGCGGACACGCGCGAATGGTTTTTACACAAGGTAATAAATCGGCCGACAGGGTTGCGACCGCTTCCGCGGCCACGATCCCGGGGCCGTCTTCCAAAGAACTTGGAATCCATGCGGGGTCTTGCAAGCTTCTGAACCGTTGGCTGCCCTTTGGCGGCCGAGGTCCTCTCCCCGTGGGCCCCGGCCACCCCCAAGACGGCGAAATAAACGTCTTCGCGCAACCAGAGCAGAGCAGGAGCCCGCCAGCGAGAGAGCGCCAGGAGCTGCTTGTGCTTGGCCGTCGCCGCCCCCGCCAGCGCCGGTCGGCGGCCCTGGGAGAGCCAGGGCCCGCCGAGCCCCGCGCCGGCACGCCTGGGGCGGGCTCAACAACCACTGGCTGTGCCTCGCCTGGCGCACGGGAGCTCGCGCCGAGTCGACGAGGACGAGTCTGCTGCGAGGGAGCAGCGCTCTGGCGAAGCATCCTCTCCGCCTGCCCCGAGCAGAGAACCGAGGAGGCACTGTCTGCACGCTTGTGACTGCACCGTCTGTGGGATCTCTCGTGGTGGTTTGCTTCGTTTGTGGACTGTGCGCCGGAAGCTTCCTCAAGGGACTCGGGACCGCAGTCGTAGATTTTAGAGCACGTTTGCAGCAGGAGCGTGGCAGCGCCTCGTGTGTGGACCCCACCCGGAAGACTCAACGAGGTCCCGCCACGGGCTCGCCAGGCCCAGCCCCCCAACCCGCCAACCCCAAATTCCCAGTTGCCGAGCTTTCAAGGAAGAGGCCAGAGGGACAGGGCAAGATGAGGAGACGTGATCGAGATCGAGGATGGAATCCCAAGGTATAGGGTTAGGTCGGGTCGACTAACCCCTTGCCTCCCGTGAAGCCTGTGATGGTGTTCTTCCTCCTCCTCCTCCTCTTCCTTCTCGCCGCCATCAGCATCCTCAACATCATCAGCAGCAGCATCATCCTCCCCCTTTGCCCTGCCATCCGTTTCGTCCTCTTTCTCTTCCTCCTCCTCCTCCTCCTCCTGCATCTCCTCCTCCTCTTCCTTCCCCTCCCCCTCCCCCTCCCCCTCCTCTTCCTCCTCCCGGTCGTAATCGTAGTCGCATCGTGGTCGTAGTCATGGCGTGGTTGTCGTCGCATCGCGGTCGTAGAGGGTGCCGTGGAGAAGTGTCAATTTCATATTTTCGGTGGGACCCCAGTCCGCCAGGAAGGTCGCCGAAAAACCAAATAGTCAGTTTCCAACTATGGCGGGGGTCCTAATGACGTATCGCGGGGTTCGGTCGACCCCGCCAGACCGAGGGTACCCTCTTTGTGCGCTGCGTCCGGCGGCTCGTGCCTGAAACACATCCCTGCGGCAGCGCGGTGTTGCTCGGCAGGGCCTTGGGCCTTGGGCCCTCCCGCGTGCCCGCGCGAACGAGTGGGAGTCGGCCCGGCCTGGCCTGCAGGGCCCCACGAGGAGCCCATGGCGATCTCGACGCCCCGGCGCGCGCACCCCGGGGCGGGCGTGTTGAGAGCGCCCTTCCGAGCAGGACAGGGTGCCCATATTCCTTACCCTTCGCCCGCTGTCCCCTTCTGGGGCCTCTTTGGGGGCCTGCGTCGCCGCCGCTGGCTTCGCCTCGGAGTCCTGGGCAGAGCGCGCCCCGGGAGAGGTCGGGGGAGCAGCGGCATCGGTACCTTTCGGGTTCCCCAGGGATAGACCCTTGCGTGCCCGATGAGGCCAGCCGGAAACTGTGGGGGGAATGTATTTGCGCAGCCCGAAGCCTTCAATGTCAAGCTTCCTATACCCCTCTTGTGGGGAAACAAGCAGATGCCGGGGCGGCTATTCCCTCGACGTTTCCGGGGGTGCAGTCTGACCAGGATTCCGGGGCGAATCCAGCGGTGGCGGCGAGGGATTCTTAGGAGGCCCAAGAAAGGGAAAACCAGGCACGGGCAGCGGTATGTGATCGTTTTCTACATTTTGCTTTGCCGATCGGCGCCGTCCCTTGCACTCCCCCCTCCCCCCTGGAGTAGATCTTGGCTGTTTTGGGCGCCTGTTTCGAGCAGATGGGGTCCCTCCCCCATCGGCCGCACTGCTTCATACAGTCGCACTAAGCAGAGGTCCGGAGCCAGACCCCCCCCCTCCCCCCTCCCCTTCCCAATGTCGAAACGCCGAGTCAAAAAGCGCTCATTATGGGTACCTCTTCCTTCTCCGGCCTCCCGCGCCGAGGACGGGCTGCGCATGGCCACGGCGCTGCGCCAGCGCATCCGCGCCGCGCGGGAGGCGCCGAGCGGCGTGGACGCCAAGGCCTCGCCGCCGCCGGTGGCGGCGGTTGTCGGCTGCCTTTGTCGGGCGTTGTCTTAGATCGGTCATGTCCCTCTACAGGAGGGAGATTCAGAAACAGCGAAAAGATAAGCTGGGCGCCATTTGTTGTGTATGTTTGGTCATTTTTGTTTATGTTTGGACTATTTTTCATTTCTCGCCCAAAATCCGCCTGTAGGGGGACGTGTCCGACCTAGGCGTCGCCGTCGGGCGTCGTCGTCGCAGACCTCCATCGTTCGGAGGAGGAAAAGCTTCCCAGACATGCCGCTGCCCCTTCTCCCCTTCCTCCCCTTCTCCTTCCCCTTCCTCCTCCTCCCCCTTCCCTTTCCCTTCCCCTTCCTCCTCCCCTTCTTCCCCCTCCCCCTTCCCCTTCCCCTTCCCGTTCCTCCTCCTCCCCTTTTTCTTCGGCAGGCCACTGGGCGCAAGCATCCGAAGCGTAAGCCTCCTCCCCTTCCTCCTCCTCCCCCCTCCCTCCCTCTTGCCGCCCCTCCTCCCTCCCCTCCTCCCCCCTCCCTCCCCCCTCCCTCCCTCTTGCCCCCCTCCTCCTCCTCCTCCCCCCTCCCTCCCTCCCCTCCTCCCCTTCCTCCCCCCCCCTCCCTCTTGCCGCCCCTGCGCTGCAGCGCCGCCGCCTTTGCGCGCGCCCGCCCGCGACAAAAAGCGGCCGGGCGCGGCCCTCCGAGGCGTGTGTCTTCCTCCAGCCCGCGTCGGGGGCTGCGGCTCTCGGGCCGGTGGAGTGCAGCACGCCCGGGCCCCGGGCGTGGCCTCAGGATCGGGGGACGAAATCTATACATATCCACTGCTCCCTGACCATGCCCATCTTGAACCCAGGAGCTGTGTATGCGCCCTCCTGGCCAAGCCAGGAGGGCGTGGCGTATACACCGCTGCGGGGTTGAGGATGGGCCTGGCCAGGGAGCAGTGGATATGCATAGATTTCGTCGCCCTACGGGCGTGGCCTCAGGAGGGAAAGAAACACACAGACACCATGAATGGTCGATTCCCCCGAAAAAATATGGGGAAATGTGGGAATCGGGCGGGAGGACAAGAGCCCAGAACATATGGGAAAAGATGGGGAATCTATATATATATATATATATATGTTTATTTGTGTGTATTTCTTTGTGTGTCCTGGGGCCCCTTCAGGGCCGCCAGCTCCCAGGCTCTGGCCTGCCTCTGGGCCGGCCCGCCGGCGCTGCAGGAGCCGGCACCGCTCGCGCTCCCTCGTGTTCGCCGCGTGTTTCGGGGGTGGACAGGACCCCCAATAGTGACACGTCGATTAGTGAATTGTCCGTTTTTCAGGAGGGAAAAAAACACAGACACAATTAATCGTCGATCCCCCAGAAAATATGGGAAAATATGGGAAGTGGTGGGGAAGACAAAAACCGAGAAAATATAGGAAAACATGGGGAACCTTTTTATTTGTGTGTATTTATTTGTGTGTCCCAGGGCCCCTTCAGTTTTTGGTTCTCGAGAGAGCGCCGTGGCCGTTATTTTCCAGGCCTGCGCCCGCCATGTTTGGGCCTCAGGTCGTTTTCACTAAACCACGTTTTGCTAAAGGGGGGTCTGTCCATCCCCGAGAGTGTTGGCCTCCTCGGGGGCCCTCGGCGCCCTGTGTGGAGTGGCTCGAGGGTCCTGGCCGGGGCGCGCCCCGCGGGGGGCCCAAGGGGGGCAGCACTGTCCTGCGGAAAAAGCTTCGCAACGGACAAGTTCGTCAGTCCTCGGCCTCCCTGGGCCTCGTGGAGGGGGGAGGTGATCATCCCAAGGTGGTACGATAGGTTTGCGTCGTGTCGACCGGCGGCGACCCCAAGGTTGAACGCCGGCGGCGGCCCAGAATCCGTCGATGTTGAACGATCGGACGTTGCGGAGACGGCCGATCGTTCAATGTTGAACGATCCAGCGCGGTGTCAAAAACCAACGCTGGGGTCGGCACGACACGGACCTGCCGTAGGGAGCGCACCCAGCTGGTAGGGAGCGCACCCAGCTGGAGCTTACTCACATTTGTCCTTCTGGAACGGGCGGTTTGGAGCGATGAACTCCAAGGCCCACCTGTGCCCCTACCCTTGAGTCGAGCACGTCCTTCTACAGGGGGGAAGATTCAAACATATTTGTCAACAAAAAACTAATATGGGGACTTTGTGTATTTCCCTTTTTCTTGCAAGACCCGCCTGTGTGAGGACATGCCCCACCTAACCCTACCCCACTTTGGCGAGCCCCCGAAACAAGCATTGTCGGGTTGAAGAGGGTCCGGACCTCCAGGAACCCCGCATGTTGTGGGATGTCTGTTGGCGGTCGTCGGGGAGACTAACGCCAAAGCATCAGGTATGCGGATGGGCTCCTGGGCGCTTCTGGGTCTCATCGCTCATCCGTCCTCCTCGTCCCCCTCTCTCGGGACGGTCGAAATGGGTACGGAAAGAATGGGCACGATGCGCAACAGGGTTCATTTTGAGCAGGACTCGCACCGCCGCGCGCCTTGCCCATTTTAGACAGGAGGCCGCCTGCCCAACAGCGGCCGCTGTCAGTTTTGGACAACATGTGCTGTTGGGCATTGTACCAATGTTTTCCGTACCCATTTCGGGCTTCCAAATTATCCTTCTTCTGACCATGCCTACCCCCCCCCTGCTCGTGGAACTCGGGCCGAGAGAGTCATCACTGGTGCCTTCCTCTGAGAGCCCGAGCGCGGCTGGCCCTCGGGAGCATCCTGCTCTCCTCTGAGCCGCAACGGTCGTCACCCCGGGCGTGGCATCCTGTTCTCCCCTGAGCCTCTGGACCCCCCCACCAGGCTGGTGTTCGCACGCGCATGCCGTGGCGATATCGCAGCGCTCCCGCGCCCCGACGTGCCCCACCTCGCCCGAGAGTTACGGTTATACCCGGGTCCCCCTCTCCCCCGGGTAGCGACCGCCACCAGGAACAGTTCCTGGGCGCCAGACGTATCCGTATCGGCGGCCTCGCGGGTTGGGCCCCTGGGCCGCGAGCCCGCGGTTCACGGAACGTTTTTGTTTGGCGCGGATGCCCCGCCGGATCGCGTCTCGGCATCCGGTCCGCGACGGATGCCGATGCTTTCGCCGCTCGTGATAGGTGCCTCCTCCCCTCCCCTCCCCTCCCCCTTCCCACTCCCTCCTCTCTACCCCGTGTTTGTATGCACATGTGGGCAGTGCCCCCGGGGTCGACTCGTGGTGCTGCCAGCCCCCCTGGCCCTGGGGCGCCTCAAGCAGGGCGGCGCCCACGGCATGCCCCTCGGCGGTCGGCGCGGCCCCGGGCGGCCTGAGGCGGTTGGGCCCCAAGGGCGGCCCCGCGGGCCCAGCGCCGGTGCCGAGGCTGGCGCTGCTGCTCCTGGGCGACCCATGTCAGAGGAGAACAAGGTGTACCCATACCGCTACCCTTGCCTCGTTGTCGCCTTCTGGGGAACTCTTGGCAAGGGCTCGTCGCCACCGCTGGATTCGCCCCGAAATGCATGTCAGAACGCACCCCGGGAGGTGTCTGGGGAGTAGTGGTATGGGCACCTCCTGGTTTCCCCACTATGCTGCGTCGGGGGCAGCGCTGCTGAGTTCGCCGCTCTGGCTGCGCGCCGCGTCGCGCAGTTGCCAAAGGTACCCGATGAAGGTGGGCGCGCCGCCTCTGGGCGCCTGCGGCCGCGCATGCCGCCCGAGCCCGCGCGTCAATGAAGCGAAGCGCTTGCGCGGCACTGGCAGGCTAGGGTGCGGAGGGCTCTTGCCCTGATTGGCCCTGATCAGTGGATACTCGAGCTTTCCACTCGCGACCGACGAGGTCGGTCGCTACCGATGTTGCTTCAGATTCCAGTCTCGGTCGCCCCCGATTTGGAGTGCCGATCGGTCGCCACCGATGTTGACGGGGAAAACTCTGCATCTTAATGACCACAACTTCCCATTCCCAGACAGATGATCGCGTCGGCAAGTTGTTCGTAGTTTTCGGCCTCGGTGGGCTTTTGCCAGATCTTGGGACCGTCAGAAAACGAACCGCGGAGAAAAGCTGGTCCTGGGGACGGGGCCAGGACTTCGGGCACGTCTGGGAAGCCCAGATATCCGACAACGAGAAGCAAGAGGATGGGGGGAGGAAGCGGGCGGGTGCGGGGTCAAATGATGATGATGATGATGATGATGATGATGATGATGATGATGATGATGATGATGATGATGATGATGATGATGATGATGATGATGATGATGATGCTGATGATGATGATGATGATGATGATGATGATGATGATGCTGATGCTGATGATGATGATGATGATGGTGATGGTGATGGTGATGGTGATGATGCTGATGATGATGATGATGATGATGATGACGATGATGATGATGATGATGATGATGATGATGATGATGATGATGAGGAGGAGGAGGAGGAGGAGGAGGAGTATGAGGATGAGGATGAGGAGGATGAGGATGAGGATGATGAGGATGAAAATGAGGATGAGGATGAGGATGAGGATGAGATGAGGATGAGGATGAGGATGAGGAGGATGAGGAGTTTGAGGAGGATGAGGGTTAGGATGAGGATGTTGCTGCTGCTGCTGCTGCTGCTGATGATGATGATGAGGAGGAGCAGGATGAGGATGAGGAGGATGAGGAGGATGATGATCATGATTATGATTATGGTTGTGATGCTGATGAGAAGGACGAGGAGGAGGAGGAGGACGAGGGGAAAAGGAGAGGCATACGCGGAAGAGGAATATGGGGAAGAGGAGGAGGACGAAGAGGAGGACGAGGACGAGGATGAGAAGTGGAGGAGTGGGAGGAGGAGGAGGAGGAGGAGGAGGAGGAGGAGGAGAAGGAGAAGGAGGAGGAGGAGGAGGAGGAGGATGAGGAGGAGGAGGATTAGGGGGGAAGTTGAACCAGGAAGAGTAGCAGCGCGAGGGTGACGTCAACCTTCCCCCCCTTTTTCCCCACCGCCCCCCCTCCTTCCCCAGCTCCCCCTTCTCCCCCCCTTCGGAGGCGGAGTGGGCCAGGCACTTCATGCGCCCCGACGCCGTCTTCTCCTCGCCCCTCACGCGGGCCCTGGAGACGACGTGCTTGGCCCTGAAGGCTTGCGGGGGGGGGGGGGATTGGGCATTCCCACAAGTGTCAGGAGGGAAACAAAAACACACATACACAATTTATCGTCGATTCCCCAGAAAATACGGGACAATATGGGAAGTGGGGAGGAAGAGAAAAAACCCAGAACATATGAAAACACATGGGGAATCTGGTTATTTGTGTGTATGTATTTGTGTGTCACAGGGCCCCTTCAAAGTGGTCCTAGCAGGTGATGTCCCAAGCTTTTTGCGCCATTCTGGAGCCCCCGGGGGCCGTCTGGGCATCGTGAGGGGTGCTCTGGAGGCGACTTGTGCCTCCCTGGGAATCAAGGGGGCACTTTGATCAGGGGTACCCCTGGCAACAGCAAGGCAGCGCAGGAGCATGGGAGCAGGGGGAGCAAGAACAGTTTCATGTCGCCGACATAATATGGCCTGGCTGTCGGCTGCTCCCCGACAGCCATCCAGGCCCGGTTGGCGCGGAACCGCGTCATGGCTGCGTCGGTGCAGCCGTATGTTGCCATGCACACGCAGATCTATAACTATACATGTCTATGTATATATCAACGTGCACGCATACACACATACATACATACATGCACACATACACACATCCATACAGACAGACAGACATACAGACGTAAAGGTATGCATGTACACATACATGCACACATACATCCATACATACATGCATACAGGCATACATGAACAAGACATTAATGCGATCGCTTCCAGGTTGTGCCGAGCAGGAGCAGGATGCGCCCACCCGCCTATCATTCTGTCGTCCACTGCGCTTGAACTGGTTAAGTTTTAAGCATTTGTCACACGCCGAGCCATAACATATTTCACAAACATACGCTTCTGTCGTTCGCTGGACCCCCTGGCGCGTGGAGCGCGCCCGGGGGTGTGTTAGCGCAGGTCCAAGAACTCCGCGCTGAACTCCGAACGTGTATTCCCCATATCCAAAGGATCTGGTCCTTGTTACTCCCCACATACAAATGATTGGGTAACTGTTATTCCCATATCCAGCGGATCGTGTTTTTTGTTTTTACTCCGACCGCGCCGAGGATCCACGAGGATCCACTCACCTCCACCTCCTCGCCTTCTCCTCCTTTCACTCAGACTCGCACGCTCGATGATGATGACGCTGATGATGCTAGTGATGTTGATGATGCTGGTGATGGTGATGATGATGATGATGCTGATGAAGATGTGGGTGATGCCACTGTTGGCAGATGATGACGATGCAGGTGCAGCTGATGATGATGGTTGTGATGATGGTGATGAATCCGTCTCAAACCTTAGGTCTCGTTCGGATGTTGTAAGCGAGTGCCCCAAACGCGCATATACACATGAATTTGCATCATGCTTTTCACAGAAGCATCCGCGCGAAGTTCTTGAGAACCCTTGGGCAAACCAATGGTTGTTGCCATGCTCATCACATGCGATCAAACGGGCCTCTCGCCCGCGCATTCCGAAATCATTTGAGCTCCTTTGCGCGCGTGCTGCGGGCCACTCGCGCCCGTCGGCCGCGCGTGCATGTCGAAATGTCTGCAATTCCTTCATCACCGACGCGTGGACACCAACTTCGTCATCGGCGTAATCATCATCGGCGCCGTCATTGACCTTCGTCGCCGTCATCCTCGCCGTCGTCACCAGCATCGCTATTATCATCATCGTGTCTACCGCTGTCGACGTCGTCATCATACCGCGCCCGACTCACCGACTCGCACTGAATTGCCCGCGCGTCAGTGCGGCCCTGGAGACGCGCTGGGAAGCCCCCAGCTGTCAGCGCCATGGCGGCCGCGTCGGTCGCGCCAGTCTCTAGCTGGCCGCTCTGCGCGCGAGCCTGCTCGCGCTGGCTTGGACGCAGAGATGCGCCAACCAGCACCACGCAGTCACCGCAATCGCCGCCGCATGGGTACTACAAACTAAGTTGCGGGCGGGAGGGTGGGCTGATTGCGCGAGCAGTGGATTTGACAACATCAAGTTCGGCAGGGTGACTTGCAACACACATATTGCACCACGTACATCTCACTTGTTGTTGCCCCTCGTAGATTGCACAATGGTTATTTTGTCGCTTCGCCCACTCCGCCGGCCCATATTGTGTCATTGGTGCTAAATGCTTGTGTGTTCGTGGCGAGCGAGAAGGGGGGAGGAGGAGAAGGAGGAGTACGAGGAGGAGGAAGAATGGGGGGTGAGGATGAGGAGGCCTCGTGATGGCTTGTTGTGGCACTTTGGGACCAAGCCTGTGGTGGAAAAGATGTTTCTTTGGGAGGCTGCTCGGGGTCTCTTGGGAGGCTTCTCGGGGGCCACGTGGTTTATTTTGGGGACTTTTTGGGGGCCTCTTGGGGGCCTCTTGGGGCTTCCTGGGGGCCTCTCGGGGCCGAGATCTCGACATGTCCGTTCGGGTCCCCCGTCAAGGCCCGCTCTTGGGGCTGTCTTGGGGGCCTTTTGGGCCGTCGTCGAGGCCTCTTGGGCAGTCTTGGGGCCCTCTGGGGCAGTTTTGGGGCCTCTTGGAGGCCTCTTGGGCCGTGTTGGGGCGATCTTGGGGGCCTTTTGGGCCTTCTTGAAGCGCGGGTGCGCCGAAAAGGCGAGAACGCTAAACACGTTCACAAACAATTGAGGAACTCCATTACTTTTTGCCTCTGGGGGTCCTGTTGGGAGGTCTCTTGGTGGCCTCTTGGGGCGTCGTACAGGCGCCGCGGGTCGTCTGGAGGCCACCTTGGGCGTCTTAGGCCGATCGTGAGACGACTCCGAGCCATCTTGGATCGTCTTGGGGGCCTGTTGCGTCCCTCGTGGAGCGCTCTCGGGGGCCTGACAGGCCGCGCCCAGAAGGAAAACCATCTCTGAGGCGGATGTGCTGGGACCTTGCCGGAAGCTTGCCAGGTTTTTTTCGTCCGGGGACCCCAGGGGCGGCCCCACGCGCGCGAACTAGAAGTATTGTTAACCAGCTGCTGGAGATCTCAGCCTTTCTCTGGCCCGTTGGGCCGGCGAATGGCACGGCGTAGGAGGCATCACATAGATCGGTCAACGCAGATTGCACAACGTAAAGTGCACAACAGATGTTGCACCTCGTAGATCGTTCCATGTAGATGGCACAACCTAAATCGCTAGACAAACGCAGTGGTGGGTCCACACTGGCCAATAGGTGTATACCCGCTTACGGCCACGATGCCATGTCGCGTAAGACCCGTTGCTCTTCGTCGCCCAATGGAGCCGCGCCCAGGGCGGGTCGATCGGGTTGGGGGGGCGCCGCCGCCCAACGGGTGCGGAGGACGTGATCGCCACCAGGGGCGTCGTCGTGATGCGGGAGGTGCGCGCGGCCGCCGCCCGCCACCGTTTCCCTTTTCGCCGAGGTGATCATCGTGATTATCATCGTCGTCCTCGTCTTCGTCGCCGTCCCCGTCGTCCACGCCATGGTCGCTGCGGTCGTCGCCTCCGCTTTCGGGAGGAGGGGAGAAAGCACGACGGGCGCCTCGTTGTCCGCCGTTTTGACTTCTGGAGGCCCGTTCTAGGCTCTGGGGCAGTCAGCGAGGAGCGCGGGACAAAACGGCGGCCCCTGGGATGGGTCGGGAGCTCGGGGGGGCTCACTTCTTTGGGAAAGGGCAGTACGTCAGAAAGCACACCACTTCGTTGTCCTCCTCCTCCTCATCGCTCACCCTCCTTCCTCCCTCCTCGTATCCCCTCGTCTTCGACACCCTCGTTCTCCACCATGACTCCCAGCGGCCATCGTCACCCTCACGAAGCCCGCCCAAGGGACGCTGGATCCTCACGTGGAGATGGACGGAGGGCACTTCAATGTAGCCCCAGGGCGCTGTCGCCAGTGACGTTCGGCACATCCCGCCACCTGTGCCTGGGTCGTGGACAAGAGATTCATGTGGGCCTCGTGAGGTCCTCTTCAAGGCCTCGTGGGGGCCCCTCGAAGTCTGCCCCAGCCGAGCCTCCCCCGCCAAGCCTGGCGCCGCCATCGGGCTGTCCAGAGCTGCGGGCCGTGCAGGCGGCTGGCGCTGGCAGCGCGGTGGATGCTGCACGCCCCGCGTGAGAGACAGTGCCGTCGAGTTGTGTGCGGAATGCGGGCGTCTCGTGACTCGTGTCGGAGCACGCCGCGGACGCGTCGAGCAGGCGTCGTCGATGACGTCGCCCGTGCCGAGGGCATGGTGGCGGATCCTGCCGCAGGGGTCGGACAGTCTCGCGGTCGACGAGGAGGGCACTCGTCCGCCCTCCTGCGCGGCAGGAGCCGAGGTCGCGGAGGCAACTCAAGGGAGGTGCCCGTCAGAGACCGTTGCGCTGGATGGGTCCAGATTCAGCCCCGCAGTTACCGCCCGACTCTGATGGGCCCATCTTCCACCACCACTACCAGAGGCAGGAGGAGGAGGAGGAGGAGGACCTTCTCGTCCTCCATTCGCCCCCGTCCTACGTGTAGTCGTGGTGGTGGAAGATTTGCCCATCAGACTCCACAGGATCGGGCAAGACCGAGCGGGACGCCGCGGAGCGGGCCGGTGCCCTCCAAAATGGCCCTGGAAGAAGGCGGCCGACGCCGGGGGCGAGCGGGAGCCCCTGGCGGCGGACGACGAGGAGGGACTGCAACAAAAAAAAACAAACAAAAAAAACAACAAAAAAAACAAAAACAAAAAAAAGCACAAAAAAAAAACAATCCTTCGTTCGAGAGCAGAACGGCGCGCACTCCCTGAGAGCTTGGCGCTGGCATTCTGCCACGCTGGGCGCGCTATCGCCCAGTCTCCGGCCCCGAGGGCACCCACGGAGCGATCCGCTGGGCGTGCTTTCGCCCAGTCGGGCGCCGGGACCCGGGCCGAACAATGGACGCAGAGAGACGGGGTCTGGGGATCCGGGCTTGACTTTCTGGATCTTGCTTGCCACAGTTTTTGCAGCGTCGGGCGTCAGGAAGGAGCGCGCCCCATGCCTCTCCGCTGAACGCTGAGGTTGAGCAGAGCAAGCAGCGCCAGCCCGTGGCAACAAGTTCCAACCTTTCTCTCGGTGAAGCGGGCGCCAGGCTATTCGCCTGCGGCGGAGCAGACACCATTCGTTCGAAAAATCGAAAATGCATAAACGTAACCTTTTCTCCGAGATTCGCGTCGATTTTTTGGATCGACGCTTGGACTTCCCTTGCGGTGCGGCGCATCGGGCGCTGCCCCTGGCGCGCTCCGCGCCCCAGGGAGTGGGGTCCAGCGCGGATCCAAGAAGTCCGCGCGGACCTCCAACCAATGCTGCGCGACCCGTTTTCCGTTTCTCCTACTCGTGCTCCCACGCTTCCCGCAGGGCGCTCGCACCCCTCCCCGCTTGAAGGTGGAGTCGAACCGTGCAGCGGCAGACGCTGCCCCTCGCAGAGCGGCCTCCTGCACCGTGTGCGCCTGAGGACGTCGGACGGGGTCACCCGACAAACATCGCATACTGTACGGTAGGTTCGTGTCGTGTCGACCGGCGGCGACCCCGCCAGCGGCGTTCAATTTTGAACGCCGCGGGCGACCCAGAATCGTTCGACGTGGAACGATTTGGACGTTTCGGAAACGGCCGATCGTTCAGGGTTGAACGATCCCCGCGGTGTCAGAAACCAGCGCCGAAGTCGGCACGACGCGAACCTGCCGTACCCAAGAGCCCCGGGGGGCGAGCGAGGGTCCTGGTTGTGGGTCTGGTATGCAAGCCTCCCTCCCTGGGGCGTGGCTCTCGTACACTGAGGGTGGCCCCAGGGCGGTGGAGTCTGACCGGGGCGGGGAGGATGTGGCGTACGAAAGCGATCTCGAGGATCACCGCGCACCCTCGGGAGACTCGGGTCGTTCTCCGAGGATGCCTTGGGCGACGGGGGCCCCCCGGGGCCGCAGCACGGCGCGGGGGCCCCTCGGAGCTGGAAGGCGGTGGAGCGGAAGCAGCCCTGCCTCGATTGTCGGCCGCCCGCAGCCGAGAGAGAAGCGTCCGCGGACGACCTGCAGGCACCGTATCCGCCTCGTCGCCTCGCCTCGAAGAAGCAAAAACTCAGAAAGGCAAGGAACACACAGACACAATTCATCGTCGACTCCCAGGAAAATATGGGAAAATATGGGAAGTGGGGGGGAAGATAAAAACCCATAGAAAATATGAGAAAATATTTGGAATCCTGCTATTTGTGTTCATTTATTTCTGTGTCCCAGGGCCCCTTCAAAAACGCCATGAGCTTAAACTTTTTTCGCTCCTCTCGGATTTCTTGGATCCGTACTGCACCCCCCTCCCTGGGGCGCGGAGCGCGCCAGGGGCAGCGCCGGATGCGCCGCGCTGCAGAAGCGCCGCAGAAGCGCCGGATCCGCGCAGATCCAAGAAATCCGCGCGGAGCGCCAAAAGTTTCCATGTCTGCACCGAACCGTCCTCTTCGTCTTTCCCCGTCCTCCCCTGCCTCTGCCTCAATATCGTTCGCGGCGCGTCCCGCCCGAAGCCCGACCAGCGCCATCGCCTCTTTCGCATTCTTGCGCCCGCAGACTTACAAAAACTGTTGTCAGCGTACCTAGTCGCCGATGCTTCACCTCGCAATGGTAGAACGCGTAGTTTTTTGCCGGCCCTATGAACCGAAGGACTGTGCATCGTGCTTGTCTGGACCAGGGCTGAATTCAATCCAAAGTCTGTGTCGGAGAGATCCTGGGGCTATTCCTTGTCGTCCAGACTGCGCCTCCTTCCTTCTCCCTCGTCCTCAAGTCATAATCCTCCCGACTTTCTCCGTGTACCCTCCCTCCTCGTCTCTTCCCCCCTCCATCCTGACTTGTGTCCTATGGTCACCCATCCTCCCTTCTCCTCTTCCTCCCCCTGCCTCTCCCTACCTGCTGCAGACCCAGCAGCCTGCTCAACGAGCTGTGTGGCTGCAGCGGCCTCAATCCAGGACTTGAGGCGATGAGGCAGCGGACAGAAGCAAGAGTCAAGCATTGGCGAAGCGTCCTGGCTCGCCTGTAGCCCTGCCAAACCATGTTCGAAGAACCGTTTGTGGTTTCCACGAAATGTTCTTAGAACATTACTGGCGGAGTCTGTCTTGTTTTATCACATCGGGTTCATGTTCTAAGAACATTGTTTGTTCTTAGAACATTTTTTGGTTCGAAGAACATTTCGTGGTAGGGCTATAGGGATGCCGGGACGGTCGGTCCCTGCTCAAAAGAGGGAAGGCAGGTGAAGCCCACATTAAGCGTTCTACCCCTTGCGGGCAGAGAGGCCCTACATACGCATGCATTCGCAGGGAGGCCTGAAGGGCCCGGAGCGGCTGCTGTTGCTGCTGCGGACTCATCTCCCCAAGCGCCTTGTCCTTGTCCTCGTCTTACTATGGTTCGACCTAAATCTGCCATGATCACAGGAGGAAACTTCGAGCACCAAGGAAGTGCATAGGAGGGCTTTCTCGCGTCGGGCCCTTCGCTGGCATGTCGGGCAGGTCCTGCTTCGATACTTCTCGGGGTGCTCGAACAGGTTCCTGGGATGTGGCCCGTGAGCACGACGGGAACCACATCACCCTCGTCCTCCGCTCTCCTGGCTCCGCCCGCCGCCTCTCTCTTCTGCTCGCCTCCGGCCGGCGCCCGGGGCCCTCGGCGGGCGCCGGGGGCGGAGCTGCGGCTCCCGAGCAGCCCGTGCAGGCCTCCCCCGACGGCACAAAGGGACCTCTCGGGAGGCCGGAGCGTCTCTGCGCAGCCCCGCCGCCTTCTGAGGAGGCCTTCGCCTTCTGCCTTCCCCCCCCCCCCCCCTCGCTCGCCTCCGAGTTGGGGGGCGGGGGGGAGGTGGGGAGGGGGGGAATGGGAGGGGGAGGCGTTGGGGGGCGGCGTTGAGGGACGGGGTTTGGGCAGGAGGAGGTGGGCGTGGGGGGAAGGGGAGGCGGGCACGGAAGGAGGAGGAAGAGGGGGGCGTTGGGGGACGGGGAGCCCGGGGGGGAAGTCGGAAGGAAAAGGCTTTCGCGGCAGGTTTGGAAGTCCGCGGGCTTGCTGAGAAGTTATCGAAGCCTTCCCCCGAAGGCACAAAAGACCTCTCGGAAGGCCGGAGCGCTTCTGAGAAGCCCCGCCGCGTTCTGAGAAGGTCGTCTTCTTCTGCCTTCCTCACCTCCCTCGTCGCCGAGTTGGGGTGCGGGGAGGAGGTGGGGAGGGGGGAAATTGGAGGGGGGGGCGTTGGGGGAGGAGGAGGGGGGGCGTTTGGGGACGGGGTTGGGGGAAGGGGAAGATGAGGGGACGGGGGAAAAGGCAATTGGGTGCGGCAGTTCGGCCAACCCCTCCTAAAACCTTCCCGAAGAAGGTTTTCTTGAAGGTCCCAGGAATCCTGGAACCTTCCTGAGGAAGGTTCCAAGAACCTTCCAAACAACCCTCC